CCCTGTGGCTTTGCTGCTGTCCCCCTGGTCTGATGGGGGAGGTCCAACAAAGCCGGCTGGTCCCGCTGCCTGGGCGGCTTTGCTCCCAGGTAAACGAGCAAAGCTGCCCAGGCTGCAGCTTTGCTCGGGTGTCCTTTGTCTGCTGGGGGGGGGGGGGGGGCGGGCCTCAGCAGACCAGGGAGACCGGGAGAAGCTTTTCTCACCCTGTTCGTAAGTCGGGGACTGCCTGTATATTAGATTTCAAGTTAATGTCCTTTTGGACAGCTCACAACTCAATTGCAATCATTCAGTAGGCATTCAGCCAAATAACCACAGGAAATGGGCAACCTCCAGAATCCACATTTTCTCTCCTAAAGATCTCTCCCATTTGCCAGAATGTGCTTAATTATTCAGTCTTGTAGGACAATCAATCTGAATCTCATCTATATAGCTCCCCCAGTTGGCTTATTTCAAATCAGCAAAAGTTCTGCAGCAGCCATTTTTTCATAGTCACCAGCTGCTCAAAGGGGGACTAGCCAGATAACAGTATTAAATCAGTTTCACCGCACTGTTTGAGAATGAAGCATTTTTCAATTTGAAGTTAAGAGTTAAGTATCCAAGATTTTAATTATGAAATGTCCTTGATATTAGGCCCCCACTCTACTGTCAGAAACCAAGCAGATCTTAGCTATGAGCACAATGGAATATAAAAACCTGACGACTGACATCTTATCTCACAGAAAATGTTTTTAACAAAAAATGTTTTTAACAAGACTTAACTGAATTCAACATTTACCCTACAGTTTCTGAAAACAAGAGCTGCAGAAAGTCTAGTACTGGGATGGTGAGCCTATGGCGCATGGGGTATTTTAACTCCCTCTGGGGCATCTGGCATTGGCCACTGTCAGCAGAAAGGACATTGTACTATATGGACTTTTGGTCTGACCCAGTATGGCCCTTATTTGGCCCATAGCTTGTCTTGATCCAGCCCACAAGGCTCCGGGCTCACCCTAGGGTTGCCAGATGTCCGGTATTAAACTGGACAAGTCTGTTATTTTCACCTCCTGTTCAGTTAAAAAAAAATCAGAAAATACTGGACATCTAAAATGTCTGGTACTTACTGAATTTTTTCCCCCAGCCAGTTGGTGATAATCCTGGGCTGTCTGGCTCAATACGGAGGCAGCCTGGCAAGCCTAGTACTTAACGGGTTCTGCAGGCGAGCTGTCCGGCCCAGCGCAAGGAGGTGGTGGCCACCGGCAGCCTGTTAGGGCCAAAATGCCTCACCACACAGTTTTTAAAGGGGCCACGCTGGTGATTTGAGGTAGGGTTTTTTTGTTTGTTTTGTTTTATTAAAAACTCTCGGGGTCCTTTTTTTTGGCTCAAACTTTTTCCTGGCATTTCTTTTTTGTTGTTGGGTATTTTTTCTGAAATCATCTGGCAACCCTAGCTTGCCTTATAGTAGGGCAAGTCAGCGCTGCTGTTCCAGCAAGCGGGAAGGAAGCAGCTCTACATGCTGTAGGGAAGTGCTCCCTGCAAGCACCCCCTCCCCACCACTCCCATTGGCAGTTCCACAGAGATGCATGGGAAAACACCTGTGTCCCCCAGCAACTATGCCAGATAGATAGGCCCCTTAATCCCCTATCCTCTCCCATACGCACCCCACTCCAGTATTCTCCTCCCGCCCAGCCACTCCTTCACCCTATCTACCACCCCAAAGCCCACTTACTGGCAGCCCTCCCTACACTGAATCCCTCATTTTGGATCCATCCAAGAGCCTAGAGGAGCCCCACAAAATCTACTAGGCCCAGTGAAGAGTTAACCTAGCCCTAAGGGTAAGCCATGAGCCTTGGTGCCTCCCCTCATGGTTCTGGAGCTTGAGGAGAATATGTGTTTTTTTTTCAGCTTCTCAGTTGAGGGGCATGTGTGAGGGTTTTTTCTTTCCCCTCCTCAGTTGGAGGCCAGTAGGGACTGTTTATCTGCTTTTCAACTTGTGTATGGTCCTCAACTGAGTTGCCTGTGGATCTGTGGCCCTCGACCCAAAAAAGGTTCCTCACCACTGGCCTCATGCCAGGTGGTCGAATTGCACCCATTGGTGTTATTCAACAGGTGCCCCCCCCCAAAAAAAACCCCACATGCCAAACACCTGAGAAAAATCAAAGTGTTAAGCAATCTACAAACTTCGCCCACAATATTAGCCACAAATGTGATGCACTAACTTATAGTATCCTAATAATTGCACAGACCAACATACAAATATTTTCAGATGCAAATGTGGGTATCTAATTTAAAAACTTTCATTAATCCTGAATCATTCATTAATACCAGTGTTCGTGAACATTCTTAAATGGATAAACACATGCTCATACATAGAGGTCACTATATATAATCACTGATGGTGATGTTTCTTAAATTTGTGTTCTATAAAAGCAAAACAATCTTACTCTTAATTCCTGAAGTTTATCCATATATACTTGTTTTGGTTGGTCCTCACCATCTTCATAAAGCCAGTTTTCTGTATCTTCCAACATTAAGGTCAGTTTACTTGACTCCTAAAAAGCAAGTTTTTATAGTGAACAAGGTCATCAAATTTAGCTCTCTTTTTGAAGGTAACAATTTCGATGGTAGCAGGACAAATACAGAAATGTCCTAACCTACCCATATCTACAGAAAATGGAAGGGAATTCTGGACTCATATGCCAGTTCCTAATTAGGAGGAAAACCAAATGCAAGAAGTTAAAGACTAACCAGCAAGGATTTCAAGCCTAAGTTATACATAGTGATACAGTTAGGGTACTAATCAGGTTTGTAATTTACATAAATGATCTTTTGCATATTCCCCTTTGAATACTGATAGTGAAATTTTGGATTTTTCTAGTGGTGAATTATAGTCACAAAGTATCTTAAGTTTCTGACTTTGTAGTATGTTTGTATGCAAGGTTATGGGGCACTGGCAAGAGTTTAAATAGCAATACTTCAGTAAATGATATAATTCCTGTCAGTTTAAAGTGTAATTGTGCAGTATGGTTTTAGCAATTATAACCACCCTTGCTTATGCATAAAAGCAGATATTGGCAATATTTGGTTGGATATTTCCAGCAAACGCTGAAGATATTCTTAGACTTTAGTAAAAAACTAAGGCCTCATTCTCCCTTAATTTACTCTTCAAAGGCTTCTGTACCACATATACTTGTCCAATACAGCATTAATCAATTATGCTTCCATAACATCACTGGAACAGACTTTGGTACCAATATTTACAGTAAGTTTAGTGTCACTGTAAGCCAACGTGGCCATCTGCTGTAGCCAATTTCTATCCTGGGACACAGGGAAACCACAGAAAGGACAATCAAAGAACACTTAATATGGTGCCTTCTAATGCATGGTAAGACACAGAAGAGCTAAAGTGATGTTCTGTCTTGCACTTCTCATTTGGGCCTGCAAGACATACCAACCAATAACTTCTTTCCAAAATGAAATACACCTTTCAAGACTAAGTAGAAATCAAGAATAGAAAGCTTTATTTGTGCCACTTATTTTATTCCTGACACCTACTCACTTCATTTGGGACTGAATACTGATTGGTCATTCTTTCCTGGATTTTTATGGAGACAAATGACACTTGAAACCTTACTGTGCTAGATACCAGGAATGATATACCCCCATACCTGACATCTAGACTTTACTCATACAAAACTAGAACCGGTAGAGTTTTGTTAAAATGGAGCAAAACTTGAACAGCATCAGATAGCAATACTACCTATGTTTGAAGGCTAATTCACTGCCCCAAGGAATTATCCCAAAGCCCAAAAAGAAGATCAGTACTTATATGAAAGTCTTACCCACCCATACTCAATATTAGTTCAATGTTAAATGTGTTAAAATTGTATCTGGCTCTCTTACTTCCTCAGTGACGAATTTTTCAAAAACACCACATAGCTTGTCTCTGAAGTCATACACATATTCTTCAACAGCATTCTTAGAATCATTTCTTTCTTTCTCTAACTTGTCTTGCATCATCATCTTCCCCTATGGGGAGAAAAAAGCTCAATCAGTTCACATGTAATGCACAGAAACATCAACAGTGACATTAAAATTCAAAGTGTTATTTCTGTATCAAGCTATTCCTAGCTGTGCAGATTATTTTAGGTTTCAGCTAGTGTGCCTTCTGTGTCAATGTGAGTACTATTCAGAGGCTTAGTGAGAGTAGAAGCACAAGAAAAAAATCTGATATGCAACAGGTTTTATACTGCCTTGCTGTTTGATCACCAATAGGGAGCAATTACTAGACTGACAATTTGAGACAGCAGATATGCTTGTTAATAATAATCCAAACTGGGAATGACCTGAACTATAGTAATACATTTCCTATAAACATGGGGGGCCTTTGACAATTTGAGGTAGCTCTGGTTTAAGCAACTATGATTTTTGGAGCATTTTGGTTTGAATTATAATGCAGAGTTCTCTATATATAAATAGACTGCTCGTTTTTGTGTGTGACCAAGTTCCAGCTGTGAAATCTGATTATAGCCCCTTCCAACACAGGAGCAGGGAGATCAATACCATTTTTTATTTCTGCAAACTAACATTTTAGTACTCTCTCTCTTCTTCCTCCACTTACAAGCTTCCCAACCTCTTGATTGTATTTTCTATTCCAACTGAACACCCTAAAGGAACTTGTATCTTTATTGGAGGGCAAGAGTTTGCACTATTAACAGATCATAAAAAAGGAATTCTCAGGATCCAACTATGATCGCTACAGATTGATGGGACCAAATAGCATTCCTTCAGATGAAGGATACTGACATGGGGCTGGAGAACACTGAAGACAAGAGGCTGGGCAATGGTTTGCAAGTCATAAGGAATTCTTTAGCCTTTGAAGGCATGATTCCTAACATGCTTAACGATTAGTGCTGTGGCACCTTAGCCCTGGTCTACACTAGGGATGTTAAAAAGTTACAATAATCAACTAATTGAATAGTTGATAAGGACGCTTCTGCTTTGAAATGTAGCAAGAGCCCACCTGGCTGTTGCTACAGTTCAAAAGGTGGAAGTGCTATGTGGCGTTCCACCTTTGAAGTGTACAAGAGTCCCTACTGGGGGTCTTGTGCATTTCACAGACTGAAAAACCACATGGAGCCTGGGGTCAGCGGGGGAACTAGAGTTCCCCTGCTGGCCCCAGGCTCCATGCAGCATTTCTTCTTTGAAATGTAGAAGAACCCCACCAGGGACTCTTGTACATTTCAAAGGTGAAATACCACTGCTGCACTCCTGCCCCCTCCCACAGAGCTTGGGGGAACCAGTTTGCAAGCCAGTCCCCTCCCCCCACCTCTGCTGCCTCTTTCTGGTAGAGTCAACAAGGAGAGGAAGCGACTAGTCGATTAGTGTACACTAAGGAGTTATTTTGAAATAAGGGGGCTGGTTATTTCAAAACAGCAGTAGCGTGGATACTCCACTGCTGCTATTTCGAACTAACTACTCCTTAGAGTCATTCAACTTAGAGCCCCAGGAAGCACTGGGGAGTAATTACTTTGAGGTAGTGTGTCCGCATTAAAAGAGCCTGCCTCAGACTAATTTCAAGGCTTCCCTGTAGTATGGATATGCTATTTCAAAAGAGTTACTTCAAGAGTTAAGATATTTCAAATAGCTATTTCAAAATGTCCTAGTGTAGGTATGCCCTTAGACTAACAAATATATAGAATCATGAGCTTTCTTGGGTGATACCCATTGGCAAGCTTTATTTCTAGAGATCTCAATATATTCCATTTACAGACTGCTTTTTCCTCCAATTCCTAGACAAATAGGATAGCTGGAGATGGAATCTGTTAAAACAGACTGAAAAAAAGCTGCATGCTGGTCATTTCCACCTTTGCCACAAGAAGAGCTGGCTCTTCTCAGCCAGGTGTATCTAATGTACTACATATTACTTCTTTATGGAAGTTCTTAAGAGTCACAGCAATCTCCAAGCAAAGAGACTTAAACTACAGTTAGTGGTGATGGTAGTTTAGCCTGAACTACATTAACTTTTGTAGATTATGAGTAAAAATTTTCAGTTTAAGAAAAAACCCTGATATGACCAGTAATAGTGATATTACAGAAATTTGAAGTATATTTGCTAGTTCTAAATGATTTATCTCTGGAACAAGCAAGCATATGCTAGCAGCTATTTCTTGTACAAGGAAATTTTTTTGCTTTCTTTATGAAACTTATGCACTTACCTCATTTTCTATGTAGCTATTAATAAAGTCCTGCCCCAACTGTCTATATAGGCTAGCTTGGATAGGTAGTTCAATACTTTTGATCTTCGCTTTAGCTTTGACAGGCTGGGCCACATGATCTGGCTTGTCTCCTGAAGCAGTCTATGGAAAATATTTTATTACATTCTGAGAATTATTCAACTGTGTGTGTGTAACATTTCTCTTGTAGCCAAAGGCTATATGATTAAAAAGGGAGAATACCAAACATGTAAATGGAACAGGCAAGAAAGAACTAAAACAAGTTGATGATGCTGTACTACTCCAGGGACACTATCTTAACTGCATACTATGTGCATCTTCAGTATTTACTCCTTTTCTGAAATCTACATTTCAGAATTTAAAATGAGAAATTATTACTTTTGAAACAGTATCAACGCCTTATATTTAATATGAAAATAAGATGTGAAATCACTACATTAAACACAGCCTGAAAAGAAAATCAGAACAAGAGCTCTTTAAATTAGTTGCAGCAAAATCTCTGGTGCTTGCATTTCCATTGTCTCAGAAAATCCCATATCCCTGTGTCATAGCACCACTATAAATCCCATTATTTCTTTAATGCTTTAGGGAAACATTCTCTGAAGTCTTAAACTCATACCTATATCACAAACTCACTTCAAATGTACTATGGCAGTACTACTAATTATAGTTTTGATAATCCTGGAATTAATCCCTTGTACTTAAATTTGATGAGGTGTACATTGGGATGTGTAAATAGATTTACATATTTATTAGGAGAATACCAAGCTAAGAATGGACACATGAAAACAGGAAAAAAATGTATGGGCAAACTCACAAGTTTCCTTTATCAATACTTGATACAAACCTTTGTTTCAGCTCCTCCGTGTTGTTCGCTTTCCTCATCTGCTTGGGTTGGCTGTTCTGCCTGGTTTTTGTGATTGCCTTCCTCTTGGTCAACTTGCATTTTATCCTAGAAAGATAAATAATTTATCTGAATATCTACCCTTGGCTCAAGATGTTCTGACCTGAGTCAACCACTCCAGATCAGCATTTTATTATAAATCACCGAGCAGTCTTAATGTTTAAATTAAGAGGACAAAATCCTCATGTGTAACAATGACAGTGACATGTTTTGATGCAGTGCTATCCTTATTTCAGAAAGGGGTATAAACTTTTAACATTTAAAAAAAAAAGTCTTTTTAGTGGTTCTTTTGAATGTGCCCTTTGACAAAATTACATTAAGACCACAATGCTTTACACACATTTAATTGAAAATAAACTGTAGGCAAGGAATAGAAAAGACATTTTAAGACCACCACACCAACATAGGTAGGAGAGGAAAAGATTCTCTATGGAACAGTCAGAACTTCAGATATTGCATCATCACAAGTCTACATCCAATCTGAAAAAAATTTCATTGCTTTATTTTTACTTACATATATAGTCATAGTAGGACCATGAAACTAGTTTCCAGTCTTAGTGTCAAAGTCTTACTACAATACTTATTTAGCATGCTACTGTTATCCTATATACAGTCTCTTACTCCAAAGAAGAGGAAGCTGCCAAGTGCTTCTGACACTAGCTGTTGGTGGACACCCATTATATCAGGTCAGCACTTATTAAAAAAATCATTTTTGCAAGAATGTGGGGTACATCATCCCAGTTTAGGTCTAATTTCTTCCTAAAAGGCTCAAAAGAGGGTATGAAACCCCTCTTAAAAAGGTCAACTGAGAGCTTAAGTCCTGTATAATGGAGACTTTGACACTTCTTGGGTGCATGAAAAGCAGCAAGCAGGGCAGGTACATGATATTAGCACTTGAAAACTAGTTTTACATACCTACCATGAATAATAATTTCTTTGAAAAAGGTCAAGATGTAGCATATTGGACCTATTTTTAGACAACACTAGGAGTTGCTGGCATTTTATCTGGACCTTTCTTTAAAAACTGAGTATGTGATTTTTCCCACCTGTATCTTTCCTGTAAGTAACAGTCCTAAGATCAGTTCACCTGTTCTTGTTTCAAGTTCTAATGGCTACATCACAATTACTATGAACATCTATTCAACATGTGAAGTGAGTTCAACTAGCAGCTGAACTGTTTATTAACAAATATTTTGTTGTCATAAAGCATCTTAATATACATTTTGTTCCCTTTTTTAAAATCAGCAGAAATATCTTCTATTATTATATGGATTCAGCTATTTAAACATCAGAATTAAAACAACATTGGCAATAATGTTTAGAGTTCAAACTGAAGTCTGGAATCTCAAGTATGTTAAAATCTCAAAATGGCAAAATCAGAAGTCTGCATGATTTTAAAATGTTAATCTTGATTTGTGTTTACAATACACATTTATTGAAAATATTTTCAGTTTTTATTATTGAGGAAGCAATAGTCCTGCAAAGCCGTATAGCTCTAATATATATGAAAAGTGACATACTGTTTCTAGAATTAAAAATGTATTTACTTACTCATGTATATTCAGTTTGCATAAAATGAATCTTTAAAATGTTAAGTAGCAAAATTCAATATCAATAGATTGCTAAGTTTTCCTACTGTACTTAAAGGAAAGTTATCATTTGTGATAATAAAATTAGAAGCAATTCCTAGAAATTAAATTCCTGAATTTATAATAGAATACATATGAGAATAAAGTGAATTACTTTTAAATTTCTTTAGTAACTGACAGCAACACAAAAATGCACATGGACTAAAAATTATTTCCTTGTAGGTTAATAAAATTTGCTATGAAACTTTAGGTACTAGCATATGCTGCATCCACTGCAAGTATGAAATAATTTAGTTTGCTAAACTATTGTTTAATAATCTATTTTAAGCATCAGAAGGCTACTTCTGCCAACTTCTTCAAGTTTTCAACTTACTGTTCTTACTGTTCACACAGACTATCAGAGGCAACAGTTGGAAAGAGGGGAAGGGGAAATCTTCTCTATAGTTAAAGAGAAAATTCTAATGATAAAAGAATACTACATATGCATCACAAACCTTATCCTCAGAGTCAAGGGTATCATCCTCAATTATGAAAGAGAATTGCTGACAAGCACCACAGTAAAAACAGAAGACAAATTAGGAAGAACAGAAGTATTGTCATGGGGAAAAGCCTAGAGATAAAAGTGGGTTACTTTTGTATTGAGGATAGTGTACTATTTCGAATATTCTCTATACATAATACATTACATGGAAATGTCGACATGTCTTCTGCCACTATTTTTTAAATTTTACTTATTAATAAACAGTGATTTTTTGTTGACGGTAGGCCCTGGGACAGTGTAGCAGCACCTATTTTCCCATCATACTTTAATTGAATGGGATTCCCCTCTGGCATACCTGCACCTATTTCCTGGGGCAGCTTGCCTACCAACGGAAGTCCGCTCGGGACACCCAAGTGTGGCTTTTTTGTTTTTGTTTTGCTCAACAACTTTGAGCCTGGATTACTGGCACCTTTTTTCTTACCAAAAAAAACACCATTAATAAGTATCTTTAAATGTGTCAAAGGCACTTTTTTACTCCTTGAGAAATTTTAAATATTAATCCTTTCAAGTTATCAGAGCACAAAAAGTGTCCTTATGCTGATGTAATGGTAACTGCACTACCACTTATTCTAACCTTCATAAACCAAATGCTAAAATGTGCTACACAAGAAAAACTGGAAAAATATTACTCTGGGAGGAAAAAATATGTACATGGAAGAGGCGGCTTCTTCTAAATAAGTTCAAGTACCTATCCTGAGGAGCTTTCAACTGAATTTGGGAAGTTCAAATGCAAGAAGATGAGAAAATAAAATGAGCAGAGGACAGAAAATTAGTTTCAAGAAGGGATTTGAAAAGAGTAGGTAGGCAAGGTGTTTCACTTACACAATAGGAAGTTATTTCAATAGGAACCGCAATGTTTTGGGGAAGTGACAGATTGATGTGAGAAGGTGAGATGTGAGGAAGTAAAAGTGGTCTGGAATAGTCCATATGCATTTCTGACCAATGCACAGATCAAGATTTTACCAACAGGCATAGGGAACAAAGGAGAGATTTCAGAAAAGTGAATGAAGGAAGCTATTAGGAATTTAACAAAAACATGGATGGAGAAGAAAAAAGCAAACAGCGAGGCTGAGTTTAACTGAAAAGAAAAGTTATAACTGATGATAAAGACAAGTAACAGAGTTTTGGAGAACATGAAATTTAGTATGACAACAGGAATTCTAGGAAGTGTGCCACAGTTTAAAAAGGCAAGCTAGAAAGTAAGGGAATAGAATGAAGATAAGAGATGCATTTGGGGGACTGCCATATAATGCATCAATGTAAAAAAGGCAAATAGAATAGGACACCAAGCGAAGAAACCTAAGGGATGCCAGAGAAGAACGCCCTCGCCGCATCCATAAAACATCCCACAAGCTATCATTTGAGTGGGGATCAGGGTGGACTTGGCCTTGTTTAGTTTACGGTCCAACCTGAAGAACATGTCCCTGACCATATATGTGGTCAGTCACTTGAGACAGGGAGGAGCCTTTTATAAACCAATCATCCAGGTAGATAAATCTGGAGCCTCCCTTTGCTTCCTCAGGAAGTCGGCCACTACTGCCACAACTTTGTAAAAACTCTGGAGGCTGTAGAAAGGCCAAAGGGAAGGGGTGTAAACTGATAATGGTTGTGGCCCAACGTAAAGCGGAGGAATCACCTGTGCAGGGATGAAACAGATGTGAAAGTAGGTGTCTGAGATAGAGGGCAGCATACCAGTCTCCCATGGCTAGGGAAGGGATAATGGAGGCCAACGTTACCATCTTGAACTTTGATTTTCCTAGTCAAGTGTTGAGATCCCTCGGGTCCAAAATGGGGCAGAAGCTGCCCTTGGCCTTGGGGACAAGGAAGTACCAGGAGAAGAAACACCTCCTCCCCCTCCCGAGGTCCTGGGGGACCTCCTCTACTGCCCCCAGGTCAAGAAGCTTCTGCACCTCTAACCTGAGAAAATGCTTCTCATCATGCCCAGGACCCAGCAGTCCATCGTGATATGAGACCAGGCACAGTGGAAGGGGAAAAGTTGATCAGTAAAAGGCCTCTAGTCAGATTGGTGCGCTGTCTACACTCACACCTTCAAAGATTCGGTCTAGGGCCTTTGGGGCACTCCTTCCAGTCAGATGAAGAGCAGAACTGTCGCCTGCCGCTTCTATTATTATTATGGCCTCTGCGCCTGGTGAAATTCAACCTGCTCCCCTGCTGGAAAGGGCAAGATGGGGTCCTAGGGAGGGAGTGCCCCTGCAGGACAGGAATGTGGATGCCTAGGGACCTGAATGTTGCTCTAGTACCTTTTAGCCCATAGAGACTGGTATCAGTCTGCTCCAAAAACTGGCCCGCACACTTGAAAGGCAACTCCTGGACAGTGTTCTGGACTCCTGGTAGAATGCCAGACACCTGGAGCCATGCGCTTCTGTGCAAGACCAAGCCAGTTGCCATAGAGGAGGCTGCTGCATCCGGAGTCCAAGGCCGCCTGGAGTGCCACACAGGACACTACCTTTCCCTCCTCGGGCAAGGTCTTAAACTCCTGTCTAAAGTCTTGGGGCAACGACTCTCCAAACTTGTCCATTGCTGCCCAGGAGTTGAAGGCATATCTACTCAGGAGTGTTTGCTGATTAACAATCCTGAGCAGGAGACTCCTGAGGTGTAGGTCTTGTGACTCAACAGATCTGATCGCTTGGCCTCCGTGTTATTAAGGGTTGGAGCGGGTTGTTCATGACGCTCACAGTAGTTAGCAGAAAGAATGTAAGCAACTAGTCGCTCCCTTTTCAGAAAGAGGTAGCAAGGGGGGAACAAGAGGGGGTGCTGAGAGGAGCCGACTTAAAGCCAGTTCCTTCAGCTCCATGGAAGGGGGCAAGGGCACAGTAGTGGCATTCCACCTCTGAAATGTACAAGAGTTCCCACTGGGACTCTTGCACTTTTTAAAGCAGAAGCACCGCATGGAGCCTGGGGCCAATAGGGGACTCAGTCCCCCACTGGCCCTAAGCTGCATTTCAATCTTTGAAGTGCACAAGATCCCCAGGAGGGTTGGGGCTCTTGTACGTTTCAAAGGCGGAATGCTGAGCAGCACTTCTGCCTTTGAAATCTAGCAACAGTCCAACGGCCTCTTGCTACGTTTCAAAGCAGAAGCGCCCTCATCAACTAATTGAACAGTCAATGGAACTTCCATTAGTTGATTAATTTTAACGTCCCCAGTTAGCAGCCTGTACCACTATCAAGCCCAGTGATGGGTGTGAACAAATACTCATGGCCCACCTGGGGGACGAAGTACTGCCACTCTGCCCTTTTGTCCATGGGTGGTATGCATGCTTGGTAATTCTGCCCACCATTTTGTTTAGGGACAGAGCCATGCGAGATGGTGCCTCTATGTTGAGGAAGTTGACAGTCAGGTCGGAGTCCTCTGAGGCCCGCTCGAGCTGCACCCTGAGACTTTGTGCCAGTCTCCGCAGGCGTTCTTGATGGGCCCAGGAGTCCATGGTTGGCATTGACAGGGAGGCCAGCCCCAAGGCTTCATCTGGAGAAGACGATGAGTACTTGCGCACTATCAAGTCCTCCAGTTCACGCAGCTGCTCTGAGGCCTATGGGCAGGGCCCGATTGACCCGAGGGGACTTGAACCCTGATGCCCTCCAATGGGGGCTGAGATTCACCCCAGATTGCCAAGGCCTGCGGTGCTGGGGCACCAGCATGGTGGAAGGCCAGGCTCAGGGCGTCCTAATGTGAGGATCCCACAGTAGAAGTAGTCCTCCCTTGGGCCTGATGGTATGCTCATGGAGCCCAGAATGACCACCTGGTGCTGCCACTGCAGGGGCAAAGTCTGCAGTAGCGACTGGCCTGAAGTACTGCAATGTCACTCATGGTGCCAGGAGTAAGAATAGTGTCGGAAGCCGAGAAAGAGACAGCATCACTCAGGACTGTACCGACTCAACATCCGAATCCGCTGAGTAGTCGGACTCCGTTCCCCAGACTCCGCATTGGTCAGTGCCACTCTGTGTGCCGGACCATGGATGCTGGCTTGCCCTGGTGCCAGACCGGTGGTGGGGGCATCAACTGCTCCAGTTCTGCGGACTCTGCCTCCGCAATAACGGTGCTGGAGGCCACGCTCTCTCTGGACTCTTGCGGGAGAGTGGCCACTGACACTGAAGGGCCCACTAGTGTTGGCGCAGATGTGAACGCCAGAGAGTGCAGTCTCGCCACCAGACCCTAAGGCATCACAAAAGGCTGGAGAAGGTGCTGTTCTCAATACACGTCTGCCCAGGTCTGGTGCTGCCGCCGAAGTACGGACCCGAAACAGGTCCCAGCGTGCAAAAGGCAGCGAGGGCGAGTCCACAGTCAACTCAATCTATTCCCGTGCCACCTCGAGCGAGTCCACTGTACAGGGCCTATCAACTGGAATCAGCTCCTCCTCTGCACTGTAGCCCTTGGTTGTGCTCAACTGACCACGCTCTGACCCAGGAGCAGCAGACCTTGAGGCTATTATGGGCGCAGCGCAACAGGGTGCCCCGACTGGGGCGCACCAGGATGGAGACCTACCCCTCTCCGCTCTCTTCTTACACCGCAACGGTGATTGCAAGCGGTGCCGGAACGAAGGGCATCTCGATGCTGACGGGGCTCCGGAGGATCCTGGTGTATCTCGCACCAAAGGCAGTGTGCTGCGGGATTCCGGTGCCATGTCAAACACCAGCTCCAGTAGGAGTATCTTCAAGTGCAAATCCCTCCTGCGCTGGGTTCGGGGCTTAAAACTGTGGCTGATTCTGCAATTAGCCAGGACGTAGGCCTCACCCAAACACTGTAAGCACAAGTTGTGCGGATCACTGCAGGACAGTCAGCGCAGAATTTAAAGCCGTGAGGCCCTGACATGCCCCATGGGCAGAGAGGAAAGGGGGATGCATCAGGCGAACCGTATCTATCAAACAAGTACTTAACAGAAAGAGCAACTTGGAGGGAAAATAAGAGCTAACATTACTGGTGAATACCGCTGACAGCACGCTTGCGAGCAAACAAGAAAGGAGCTCCAACAACCGTCACATGTAGTAAGAAAGAACTGAGGGGGTGGAGGGTTAGCAGGGGTATATATGCACCGATACAGTGGTGCCACTCCTTCTTCTACAATCTCCTCAGCCTGCATTCACAAATTTTGGTCCATCCTTTTCAGGAGATTTTGATGGGCCCTTGCATCCATGGTAGGTAAAGAGAGTAATGTGCCCACCACTGTTTTGTCTGGGGAGGACGAGAAAGATTCCTTAAGGCAGTGGCCACCAACTAGTAAATTAGGATCTACTGGTACATCTTGGAGCCTTTGACAGGTAATCCTGACTGGTTTCACCAAGAGGCTATCAAGTGCTGACACTTCAGCTGCCCCTCCCCCTACTGCTGAGCATTATCCTGCCCTTTGCCTAGGAGCTGCCTCCCCCAGATCCCAAGAGCCTCCTGCTTGCTGTGCAGAGCAGGGGAGGAAGACGAGGTGCACTGATGTCAAGGCCTTGAGATGGGAGTTTTCTGGCTGCTTTTGGGAGTGGTGCAGGGCCAGGGCAGTGGTGAGCCTGCCCTAGCCCTACTGCACCACCATCCAGGAGCCACGGGAGGTAAGCGGTGCCCAGTCGGAGCCCACATCCTGAAACCCTACCCCAGTCATGAACCCCCTACTGCACTCCAGGCCCCTGCCCTAGCCTCGAACACCCTTGCATCCAAACACCCTCCCAGAGCCTGCACCTAGAATCCCCTCTGACATCCCAACTGCCTGTCCCAGGCTCAGCTCAAAGCCCCTCTCGCACTCCAAATCCCTTAATCTGAGACCAGAGCCCTGAACCCCAACCCACTGCCCCTGCCTGGTGAAAGGGAAGAAGGATGGGGGAGGGAAGAAGATGGAGTGGGCAGGGTCTCAGAGAAGAGGCAGGAAGGAGGCGGGGAAAGGGTATTTGAGTTTGAGGTAGATCTTGAATTGCACTTACATTCCAAAAGTGATCTCATGCTTAAAAGGTTGGAGACCACTGCTCTATGGGAAGCCTGCTCCTTAGTGTCCTGAATACACCTTGAATAAGGTAGACAGCTGAGGCCTGCAGACATCTGTCCTCAAGAGGAGGCCTAGGGGTATCCTTTTAGGCTGTATCTAGACGCTGACCTAGGAGTAGTGTGGTCGATGGGGCACCATGTGCTGCTGAGTAGACAGATGCCACTCAAGGTGTTGTTGGGCCTTGGGCCTGATGATAGGTGGTTTGTGGAGACTGGAGGTCAGTGCTTCAGTTCCGGGAGCTAGACCAGTGCCAAGTTGTGCAGGACAAGAGCAACTCTGCCTCAGAGAAATACTCAAAGGCTGATCAATGTGGTGCCAAAGAGGTCAGTGCTGGTGATTGGTGCCATGACATGTACCAAGACATCTATGTCTGTTTGCCTCGGTGCCTGACCACCTGTACAGGTGGCATCTGTGTTTGGATGTGGTCAGTCTTGGAGTCAGGGATGGTCTTCTCAGTGCCAAAGGCTTCTGCACGGATGCTGGTGTGCTGTGTGTCACGGGCGCCAGTGCTAACTAAGAGTCCACTTGTGGCCAAAGAGCTGCCTCCATAAGAAGAAGTTTGAGCAGCATGTCCTTCTCCTTTTTAGTGCGCCATTTGACTCCCCGTCAGATTTTACACCCACCTGTGTGACGATTCTCTCCCAGGCACTTTAGGCACAAGTCATGCAGGTCACCATGGGGCATAGGCTTAAAGTCCTGAGGCCCAAGTATACTCTGGTGTGGAAGAACAAAGGTGCGGTGGAAAACCCCACTCAGTACTGTAACTACACTATGAATACAACTTACAGAAATACACTAAATATAAAGTTGTAACTCTTTACAGAAGAACCACTAATGGAGCCCTTGCTGTAGCAAACAGTGTTCCAACAACCATCACAGGCAGTAAGAAGGAACTGAGGGGGCAGAGGGCCAGGAGGGGTATATGTGCACCACCATGGGATCACCCCTCTAGAGGGCTCCCTTCCTGGCCCAATGGATACCGCTAAGGGGGGGAACACCTTCTGAGAATCATACACGCAGTACACTCACACCTAAATGGAATGGACATGAGCAATCACTCAAAGAGCCACCAAAGATACAAGAGCAATAGCATAACATTTCAAGCTCAATTACAGAAGCCAAATGATACGTGTACAAAATGAGCAGCAGCAAAAGCAGAACTCAGACTGAACCCTGCACAAAGAACTCTGACTTTATTGTCTAGTTTTCACTGCCTCAAGCAGTTTCTCTAGTGAAGACTGAGTGGAAACTGCATTGGAAGTCAAGGCAGTCAGAATACAGTATGCTCATGAATCTTTTATATGAACTGTTGGTGGGTAAGACAGATGAGTGGATGATAAATGTAAGTTAGGACACAAGAGCATGTTTGAATCGAGAGAGAAAGGAGCACTGTTAAAAAGGAATGGTCACAGATGGATAATAGGATGGGCACCTAGTTCAGAAACAAGGAAAACAAGATTGGAGAAAAAGGAAGAAAATTTCTGATTAACTGGATCAATATGGTCTGCAAAAATTTGCAGTGCGACCCCAGGATTTGGAGGCACAGTCACAGAACACAGAAATTGTTTAGCAAGGACCTTAGGCAGAATCAAAGGAATACACAGAATGGACAAGGTAAATCAAGGTGTAGTTGAATAGCAGGAAGTTGAGGTTGAACCTGAGGTTCAAATATAAAAAGCAGTAAATGCAACATGAGAGCCACACACGAGTAAGATGAAAGTAAAAAAAGTAAAATGAGAGTGAAGACAGAAGCAACCCAACCTGGCAGAGCAGCAACTGTCAGAAGGAAGAAAAGATGCTAGCAGTTAAGATTAGAGGTGACAACCATTAAATAAACTACAGAATAAAGGAGGAGTGAGAGTTCATCCTATTGCCAGAAGGCTACATACTGCTCTGATATCCACCGGGTCTCCTGTGGAGTTAGGATATACTATGAGCCAAGTGGTAGATACTAAACGCAAAAAAATGACTTAGTTCAGACTGTAGTCCTGTATGTATGAGCTGTTCATGTGGCTCTCTAAGGAACCACAGCAGGAACTAGAAAGTAAGCTTTCCCATTCCTTTACGGACAGGTTCATGTCTGCAGTTGTATACTGTAGACTACTTAGTGTCATACAACTGTCTTATTCTCTTCTCCCTAAAAGATCAGTCTGGTGACCTCCAACAGTTGCACTCTTCCAAGGTTAGGACATGTTAGAGGTAATGGAAAGGGGATGAAGACTTGAACCGGGCATTGTCACTGATTAGTGTATCACCAAGTTTATAATCCATGATTATACATGGCATAAAATTATTAAATACTGTCATATTTCCCTCATCTTTTAGTCATTCAAGTACATTTGCACTTAAAGCTTTTCATGATTAAACTATATAAAAAGGAAAAAAGCAAACAAATGAAAGTTTAAGCTGAAGATGAAATAAAGTGATATCCATAGGACACACAGAATATAGAACTGTTTTCATTAGTAAATTTCATTTAACAAATAGTTTTATGAAGTGTTTTATACAAACACATTAAAAAGCTTGTTTACCTGGAACTCAAAGACATATTTCTTCAAAAGCAATATCATTGTTGCCATTAAATACTAGTATTAAAAACTGCTGAAAACTGTCGGCAGAAGAGAAAAATTGAGCAAACATTTTTCTGTGGGTATCTGTGTGAATCTCATTTGTATTTATCTTTTACATACTGTAACTCCTGGGGGTATGAAAGGTATTTGTGTCCTATGTAGCTCTGAACCTATTATTAATGCTTACATAAATAGAAAGCTGTATACAAATAACATTAACTGGTGGTTCAGTCTATTCTTGTAACAAATAATATTGGAAATGGGAAAATTAGTAGATTAGAATTAACCTTTGATTGCATAGAATCATAGAACACTAGAACTGGAAGGGACCTCGAGATGTCAGAGTCCAGTCCCCAATACCATCTGGACCATCCCTGACAGAGGTCTGTCTAACCTGCTCTTAAATATCTCCAGTGATGGAGATTCCACAACCTCCCTAGGCAACTTATTGCAGTGTTTAACCACCCTGACAGTTAGGAAGTTTTTCCTAACATCCAACCTAAACCTCCATTGCTGCAGTTTAAGCCAATTCCTGCTTGTCTTATCCTCAGAGACTAAGAACAACAATTTTCTCCCTCCTCATGACATCCTTTTAGATAACTGAAAACTGCTATCATGTCCCCTCTCAGTCTTCTCCTTTCCAAACTAAAGCCCAATTCTTTCAGTCTTCTTTCACAGGTCATGTTTTCTAGACTTTTAATCATTCTTGTTGCTCTTCTCTGGACCTTCTCCAAGTCTTTTGTTCTTTTGTTGCAATTACAAGAGAAATTTTCAGATGTTACATACCTGTTCATCTTTGCCTTGATTCTTACACGATGATTCTGCATCCATAGGTACATCACTGTGATCTCCTTCCACATTTTGTTTCTCTATTATTGATGCATTAGCCACACTGAAGATTCCATGGATATTGACACGTACTTTAACTTTCACTTTGGAATTGTCTCCATCATACTGAGGAACAACATTCTGAATAGTGAAACGTCCTAAAAAACACAACAAGCAGCATATAAGGATTAATCTGGTTTTCTGGAATGTCTAAAAGTGCTTTCATTCCTCAAAAATATTCCCTAGAGCCATTTTCATTATCAAGCATTTTAAAAAAAAGGACAAGAAGGATTGCTCCAAAAAACTCAAGTAACTGTAGGTTAGAGAGGTAAATCAGTAGCTAGAACAATGGCTGACTAATCTCAGAATAACTAGATAGTCCTTTACCAAATTCAGGAACTTCAGTCATACAACCTCTCCTGTAAGAGCTCCATAGCCTATATTCTGTGAGAAACAATGGCTCCAAGCAGAAAATGAGCACAGTGTTGGGAATTAGGTACTCCTCAATTTTAATCTTGGTTCTGCCACTGATTGCAGGTCCTTGGAAAGTCACTTGAAAAATCTGCCTCAATTTCTGCAGCTGTAATACTTTGTACAGAGACATAAGTATATAAAACACTACACGGAAGTACCTTGAATTAAGTAGCCTGAACAGACAAATGGGGTTGGCAGTAAATGGAGGTCTTATTGACAAACACATTACTATCCTGGAACATTGGAAGAATATACTTCATGCTTCACCCCGTTCTGTTAGATCTTCTTCAGGCTGTTGTCTCCTAAATGATGGTACCACCTAACCTTGAACAATTTTACAATTCCATATCCTCACAAGAAATGAATCTGCTTGAAGAAAGGGGGTGGGGTAGGGCTAAATTCCACTTAGTCTTTCTGCAAATTATTCATTCAGTTTCAATTGCACCCATTCTGCTTTGATATGGATCTTAGGTATCCTTGCCTTAGAGCACACTACAGTATTGCATTATGGAAATGATCAAGAAACCAGCAACTGAAGAAGCTTCAGCTAATACAAAATCTGGTTCAATTATGGGCATCTTTTCCAGAGACACAATACCTTTTGTTTACCTGTACTGGCTTCTGATTAGTTTTAAAAGGTGCAAGAGGAAGTGTTTGGAAACCCTTATTTGGGGGGGGGGGGGTATTTGCCATATATTTGGTTAACAATTTGAGCAAGTTCTCAGAAATGGCTTTGTAGTATTTGAGAGAGACTTGGAACACCGCTTGGCACTGCCAACAAAAGTCCTATCTTGTTAAATATCCTTATCCAAAAGGACAGATGTCAAATCCACAAGAGCAAACACATGAGGTTTTGCTCTAATAGAGACAGGCACCTGTAGAATGCTGAAATGCCACAGGGAGCCCAGGATCAGCTGGGGAGGCCCCAGGATCAGCTGGGGAGGCCCCAGCTGCTCCCAGGCTCAACAGCACTGCCCCTTTGAAATGCCAGAGGTAGCGTTTTAAAGGAGCAGCCACCGCACAGCTGAGCTGTGACAGAGGCAGCAAAGGGGGGAGAGGAAGGGGGAATCGACTAGTCGACTAACTATCCAATAAATATTTGCTTATCGCATAGTCGACTAGTCTTTAACATCCCTATTTAGAACTGGAGGATTTGGCTGCTAGAGCTATTAGATCAGCAACACTTGGAGCTGGTTTGGAAATTCAATATGAGTGCTTGTGGTAAACCAGATGCTGATTGTGCACTATGAAAAAGAACATCCTTCCACTATGCAAATCAGATACCTTGTATAGACAACGAAATGAGGATACAACAGGACAAACCTCTTGAATCCTTACTCCTCCTTCCACTTTTGGATCTGTGAACCTACACCATGATGTTGGACCCAATAAAACTTATGGAGGTAGTAACTATAAATGACAAACAATGTTAAGAATTCTAACATTCATCTTAACTAAGAAATTTAACTAAAGCATTAAATCTTTGAAGACGCTGAATCCAAAATGAGCTGGCAAGGTTTCTGGTCTGATACTTACAGTAGCTTCAGCCTCACAATGTTCAGATAAGTGAAGTGAGGTAACAAGGAGATGCAAAAGCTCTCCAATACACACAACCAGTTCTTCATCTCTATGATTTTATGCCAAGACATTTGGCTCAGCTGTTTATATACACCATTTTAAATGAATGGATCGCTTTTAAAATGCACACAAAAGATTTAATATGTATTTCCATGGTCTGTTCTCACCTATTCTGGGTTCAGGATACGGTATTTCATTTGGGTGGGTATAATAGGCTTCCAGATCAAAAGGCTCCTTCTTGTGGAAAGTAATAACTTTTGAAAATGGAGCAGCATGGTTCTTATTGAAGACTTCACATTCCCTAGAGATATAAAAAAAGTGTTCAAGTAAATAAAAGTAATAGTTTGTAGAATGACTATGAGTCAAGTTATATTAGACCCTGCTATATTACCTATGAGCATCCATGAAAACCTAGTAACCAAATGAAATATTTAATAGACGTTTATTTGGCTATGGAAAATTATTTTGCATTCTCTAACTTAACTGAAGTTTGAAGGCAGAATGAGAGTTAAACTCAACGACCAACCTGACAATACTACATTTTACAAGTATCTCTATGTAGATTTTTTGTATATATTAGAAAGCTAATTATGATTAAGTTATGATAAATAAATTAGAACAATGTAGCAACTGGTGATGAGTAGCAAAATGGTACGTGACCCCAACTTCCAGAGACAAAATGATTAATGACAATACAGTACAAAATATAGACAAATGAGCTATAGTTCACAGGTTTGACCTTCGCACACCATTAAGTCTTTTTGCATATTTTACTTGGGGGGGGAAGAGGGGGGAACAACTTACCCTGTTCCTTCCTCATAAGAGGACTTCCATCTTAAAGTTACCGAATAAGGAACAACATCGGTGAGGGAAAATTCACGCACCTTAAAAGCTGGGGAAAGAATTGCACACTGGAAGAGAGAGATCATATTTTAAAGATGTATATAGTTTAGTGAATACATTTACTTGAATTTAGCATTATTATTCTTCTATAAATCTAGTACACTGGCCATGATTATCTTAGTGTAAAGTGTTTTTAAATGAGCTACACATACTAATATTCAGACAATTTTAAGTTACTTTAATTAAGAACCATCATCTGAGTTATACTGATGGAGCATGTTTATAGTGACAGGAATCTCTGAGTTTTTAAAACAGAATTACCTCATAATGGCTTTGAAGTTTAAACACTCCAGTTTTACAGATGAAGGAAGTGACATACTCATTAATGCAAAAGTCTATGGCAGAACTAGGAAGAGAACCCAGACATTCTGACTTTCACTCCTGTATTTTAACTATAAGACCAGCCTTCCCATCATTACTCACATAATTACCACCAAATGTGACTACAACAGATGTTTAAATGATTAGTGAATATGACTGTGCAAGAACCAATAGTTCAAAGACCTTAAATCATGATATGAGGGACATTTTGTTTTAAGTTGCAGCATTCTTTGACTTTTGCTTAATAAACAATTATAAGCAATGTATGCTGTAGAATAGATTGGAATTTTAGTAACCATACCTGTAATGCACAACCTCTTGCAACAGCTTCATCCGCATTCAATGTAGTGCTTATATCTTTACAGAAGAACCTACATATTTGTTCCTTCACTGCTGGGATTCTAGTGGCTCCACCTACAATTTCTATACTGCTTATGTCTTCACGCTGCAGTTCTAGGAAAGAAACCATTCAGGTGATAATCCAAATATTTTAGCTTCAAAATTACCCAAAGTTGATTTTATTGGCTGCTCACTCATGAATGAAATGCTCAAGGCATTCTTAAAATAAAACTAAATACCTAGACACTACAAGAACCAGTGAAGACAGGCGAATGGCCAAACCGTGCAGTGAGAATGTTATGTTCAATTGCAACAATTCAGACTAAACAAATCTCTGCCTCTCCTTTAGTCAAAGTGAGTTTCAAGCTCCAAGTGCAAAAACCAAGAATAAAAAACTACTTATCTTAATGACTGTGGTTGAAATGATACAGATTCCACTTTTATTACATATGTGCCTATTCACACACAAAATCAGATTCTTTTGACCAACCATGTCCCATCTCGCCCACTTCCCTCCCTTCCCTGGAAGGCATAAGAGTATAGGGACCCAAACATCCATAATTCTTACTCCAATACAGACGCTAGATAGTACAGTATAGTATTCCACAGCAACAGTGAAATAGGAGGGTCATAGATTCCATGAGGACATCATAATAACTAAATAGTTCTTTAAAAAGAAGTAGGACCGTACCAAATTCACTACTGTATCAAGGTAGTGTGTACTTCCTCAGAGAGACCAAAACCCCTCCCTGGGGGAGCAGAGCCACACCCACCTAAGCTGATGGGCAGGACAGAAAGCAGAAGTACAAAAGGCTGGCCCTGAAGCTCAGCTGGACTGGAGCATCCAAGGGAGACTTTTCCCCTGCTGCAGAGCGGGACATTAAGGAGTTGCTCCCAGAGCTGCTGCCTAAGGAATGGCTAGAGGTTCCAGGACCAGCAACGGGCCAAGGCACCAACAAATGACCGGGTAACAACTGACCACCGACCTTGGGAGGATGGAGGATAAGAGGTGCCAAACTGTGCCTCATACTAGGTCAGTGTGTTGCAGGTGTATTT